CCCAGGCCATGCACTCACTCACTTCCCATTCAAACTTCTCACAAGCACTGACGATCCCGGTCGTCACGTGCTAATCCACCATAGTGATCGTCACCCCGCCAACTTAGTCTCTGCACGGTCCTGCCCGGATCCCACAAATAGTCGGGCGATCCAGCGTGTCGAGCACCAAGACTACAGTCATCTCGTCGGGACTTTTCGACTCGCACCTTCCTTCATACCACCTAGACACGGCTTCCCAGAAGCGGGCTGATGAGTCGAGAGAGAGATTTTTGGGAGAGCTTGCGAAATTTGTAGATGCGAAAAAGGAGATTGACGCTAGGAAGGGTTAGGATTGAGATAGGGAGGGGTAGGGAAAGGTTTAGGGATACTCGCCTGACGAAAGCCATGTCGATCCCTTGGATCGTAGTCGTAGCCAATCAGAATCATCGTGTATAAGGAATTTCCTTCTTACACGGCGCGTCTTCTTGGCTAGAGGGAAGGAGGAGGGAGTCGACAAAATATTTGGGCGCGCAGATTAGAGCGGGAAGAAGAAGAGCGTGAAGGATAGCAAGAAACAAAACCAAGATTCAAATGATCATGAAAGAGAAAAGGCGCGCGAGGCAAGGGAGAGATGGAAAACGGGTACAGAGAGAGAAGTGTGAATGCGACAAAGAGGGTGTCTAGGGTAGCGAGGGAAGCGGGGAGGGGAGGTTCGCATGCATGGCGCCGATGCGGAGGCAAAAAGGGCACCGAAACAGTTATAGCTAATTCAAAAATTGAAAAAGTACCGTACCCGAGCGTAGAGCGAGCGCAAAAAAAAAAAAAAAAAAAGGTCCTATGCCTATTCAGATTCCTACAAAAATCCCTAGAGTTTTCCCAGATGATGTCGAGAACATTCATGCACAAAAAAAGGACACGTCAGATTCCGCCCATTCCAGAATTCCTGATCATCGACACAAATTCCTTGCGCACTTGCTAAGGCACGCGTAATTCCCATGTATTTCCCAAATGGCATAAGATGAAATTCCAAAAACCGACCGAAAAATGTCGAAGGTCCTGAGAAGGACGGGCCTTCAGAACAACGCACATTAGTTCATAGAAATACAAAAAGAGGCCTCGTCAGGCCGTTTGCAAAAATATCAAAATTCGAAAGAG